TGGAAAATTTTCTGGTCAAATATGATGTACTGAAATTAAACCAAGAAGTGATGAAAAAACCTAACTAGATTAATAATACATAATGAAGTTGAAAGAGTAATAAAAAGAATTCAACAAAACAAAGCTAAGGACTGAGTGGATCCAAAGCTGAGTGTTAATACATTTTAAAGAACACCAATGTCCTATTTTCATGGATTGGAAGAATAACATTGTTAAAATAGGCATAATACATAAGCAATGTACAGATTCAAAGTAATGATAGAAATACTAAGACAGAACTAGAAATATATTCCTAAAAACTTTATAGAAATACAAGATAACTTGAATAACCACTGAAATTTTCAGCGAAAAGAGTTATGCTGGAAGCATCACAATATATAATTTCAAAATATACCACAAAGCCATACTAACTAAAACAGCAAGGAATTCAGTATTATTCTAAAATTAAATGTGAAGAACAAAGCAGCAAAATGAAGAGTGACAAATAAATCTCTATATTTTAACCCAACTGAACTTCGAAAGAGGTGCCAACTGGAGAAAGTTCTGTCCCTTGAACAAATGTGCTGAGAAAATTGTGTTTTCACATGTAGAAGATTGAAAGTAGATCACAATCTCTCTCCTTGTATATTGAAAACAAAATTTACAAATTTTCTGTCATATATGGAAACGTAAATAAGAACAAATGAGAGGAGCTGAAAATGCAATAGAGTATATTTTGACCTGGAATAGCAGTAGGGGGAGGGTTGAGTGGAGGGAATCAAAGAATGCCAAAGGGTGGAGGGAAGTGATCAGAATTGCATATGCTCTTATAAAATACCACAGTCAAACTCATTAATGTGTACAATTACTGTACAAACTGCTGATATTTATAATAATAAAACTTTAAGATAAGAATTTAGCAAAGTACAAAAATAACTTTATGAAATAGATATAACCTCCACATCTAACAAAAACTTAAGCTATTCCTAAGCAAACTTAAGATAATTTATTGCAACTATTGTGTCAAAAACTATACAATATTTAATAAATACTGGATAAAATCATTAGATTACTCATGACTAGTTTAGTTTATAAATAATTTTTATTACATATATGTTTCAATGTTCCTCAACATTTCTTTTATTTCTAGAAGAAAAAAACCCTCATCTTTTTCTTTTTAGTTTCCTTAGCACTCCTCACATGACCTTAGTAATATATAAAAAAGATACACTCTAGAATGAAAGAAAAGCTGATTTAAATATGTGCCTAAATTACAATGTTCCAAGAAGAACTGTTTTATGATTGTAGTATATCATATCAATATAAATAAAACAAGACAATCAATTAAAATGGAAATCACATTTTAAGGATGTTTGCTCTTTTCCCTGATTTGGTATTTTTCTCATTTAAGAAATCAATCTAGACAATTAATTTAGTTTGTGTCTTAAAAATTTCCTGAAATATTGAATTTTTAAATGTCTCAGAATGAAACTCCTTGCAGATCTAACAATATTGCTCACATTGCTATTTTAATTCATATTTTAATGAGAACACTGAATTGCATGTATGTGAGAATGTTAAACACTTGAGAATCAATGAGAATAAGAGGAAATTATAATTATTTCTTTTCCTTGGAGTTGATACTTGTGGGGCAAGATTCTAGTGGGAGAAAATTTTCATTGCTTGCTCCTAATCAGGCTGTTATACTCAGTATATGGAATGTCATATCAACCAACCTGTGCAGAAGACCAAATGGCTTTGGGCATCAGCTTCCTCAGACATCAGAATTAGTGACTCTAATGGCACTTTGAGGTAATCACTACTTAACATTATCAAAGTCTTTTTTCCTTTCACAGGAGTAAATAAGAAAAATACAGAGTACTGAACTCTCTGGGAAGAAGGGGTATATTTTTATCCCTGTCCTTGACTTTTATAATTCCATATTCTGTATCTGAAATGTCTTTCCTACTGTTAATAGCGATAAAGATGGCAATGGATCTGTCTCTACTGGTTCTCATTCTAAGAGCCACACTCCCTGATGAGTACATATTCCTTTCTCATTTCTGTCCCTTATACTATAAAATTATAGCAAACATTTCTTTGTTTACTTGTTTCATCTCAGAGAGTTTGAAGTATTTATTCAGTTACTTTGAACCTGTATTAACTTTTATGAAATATAGCTTTGAGAACTGTTTTATGCAAGGCACTGTGCACAGCATGATACTAAGTTTACAAACTAGTGCAGAAGAGAAGCTCATAAAATGCAAAATTAAATATGTGCCACACATGCTCTTAAGGAACATAGTCATGTGCTGATAAAAAGTGGTTCTCTTAACTGGAATTTCACTATTAAAGATCTCTACTGGGGGGATTTTATTACATCAGATTTTATACCATAATCTAGTAGAAAAGGAGTAACTGTAGGAATCTTATGAGTTCAAGCTCAGTGTCTAACAAATGTGCTTTTGTGGAAGAGCCACATCCAGTGACACATGTTGGGACATAGAGGAAAAAATCATTTTGTTTATCTTCAGCAGGCTTCATTGACCCCCATTCCGCACTAGCACTATACTAACTTTGTTCATGTGGGGCCTGCCTTACCATGGTATTTATCTCATTGTCTAGTCTGCCTCCTTGTCCCCTTCCACACTGTAACTTTCTAAGGTATAAAGACATTATTCATGCCTCTATCCTAAATGAGCATAGCAAGTGATTTGCTTATGTTGTCACTGCTGTTTGCTTTAATATATTTACATTTATATGCATAATTTAATATATTTTATATATACACTGACATATTGTTTTCTTATTCTGTACACAGCACAGCCTGGGATTAGGTTCCTAATTAACATTTTTTCAGGTATTATTGGTAATTTATGTATCTCAAACATGAGAATTTTCATTTAGATATTCTGGCAATATAAATCAGGACATCCATTCTTAAATTTTAAGATGCAAATTTTTAATTACTTTCCTTTTTTTGGTTTCCTTAATGGTGTTTTTTAATTTTCTGGATGGTGTTATTTAAAACAGAATTAAAATGAATCTCATGTTGCATAATTTACTATTTTTCCTATGGTACCTTCTTGTTTTTGTATCTTATCTAAGAAACCATCCAAGGTCAGCAATATTTAGGCCTCTGTTTTGTTTCCTGTTTTTTTTTTTTTAATAGTGTTAGCTCTTTAATTAGTACTATGACCAATCTTGAGGAAATTATTGTGAATGGTATGAGAGTTCCAGACTCAGTCTTTTACATGTACTTCCTTAATGGTCTAATAGTGGTTTGCTATAAAAATTAATGTCTCCTCATTGAATTGTCATAAAACCAGTATAACAACTCAGTTCATCATAGATGTGTCTTTACTTTTGGACTGTTAATTCTATTTCATTGATCTGTAAATCTATATCTATAACAACACCACATCATCTTGGCCACTGTAAATTAGTAGTAAGCTTTCAAATAAAGAAATTTGACACCTCCAACTTGATATTTATCTTTTAATATTGCTTTGATTACTCTGGGTTTATTGCGTTTTTTTAGGGATTTTATCAATATCTATAAATAACAGAGGAAGGATTTCCATAGGGATTCCACTTAATTTGATGGGCAATTGTAAAGTGTTCCCTTTTTGACAATCCAGTCTCTTGATTCGTCAACAAGCAGTGTGTTTTCTATGTCTGAAGGGCTTTAGTACCATTCAAGAACACTTTCTTATTTTAAGTGTGGTCTCATGCATTTTTAATGTACTCTTCAGCATTTCATCCTTGCAGACTATTGGCAGCACATTTTTATTATTCATTGTGTGTAGAAATAAAATTGAGTTTATATGTAGACCTTTAATTCTATCACCTCGCCAAACATTAGTTCTAATGGTCTTTTTGATAGATTCCTTCACATTTTGCCTATGTGAGACTATGCCATTTACCATCAGAATAAAAGAAGAATTAATTCTTATTTGCCAATGTGAATGCTTTTAATTTCATTTTCTGGCCTGACTGCCATAGCTAGATCATCTAGTTAAATTCTGGATACAAATTGGGGAGTGGATGACTTGTGTTGTTAGTTTTGTAAGGGTAAATGTTTAGCATTTCACAGTTATGTGTGGTATTGAGTGTGGAGTTTTTTGGATGCTGTTTTTTTTTTTTAACATAAAATATTATTTTCTCTGCAGACAAGTTGAGAGGTGTGACAGTTAACTAAGATATGTCAGCCTGACTTGAGTAAGATAGTCCTAGAAGATTCATGAAGTAATGGGTGTGTTTTTGGTTCATTGATGTGTAGACCAGCTTCCTGAGGAAGGAAGACCCACCTGGGTTGGGAGTAGAGTGGACCACTAGGATTGCCGTCTGGACGGAATAAAAGAAAAAGATAGTGTTTTCTTTGCGGGGCGGGGAGGCCCTCTGTTCTTTGTCATCACCTTTTGACTTTTGTCTCAAGTCACTTCAGGCTCCTAGTGAGACTCTTCGGGCTTCTGACACAGATTCACATATGTGACTACAGTAAGCTTATATGATTCGAGTTTGGCCTGGTACTAGATCCTCTTGCTCTCCAGTGTTCTGATCATCATTTTTGAGTCTTCTGCCTTTCATTATATACATCAAGCTTTGTAAAAATGCCTTTGTATATTTACATATATGTATATTTATTTGATTCTGTTCCTTTAAGAGGACCTTAATATGAAACGATTATAATTAGTAAGATATGATTCATGAAACACTCAAATAAGTTATCAAAATTTTCCATTGAGTGTTTATGGACTGAGTACTACTGATAATGTTACTTATAGCAAGAACAAAAAATAGAGATATTTCTATGCAATATTTATTTATATGTATCTTATTTCTGGGAACTCAGGGTCATTGAAATAAAATAAATGAGGATCTGACAGAGAGTGGGGAAATAACAGAGCTTTTTCAGAATGAAAAAGCTGGAAAAAGCTGGACTTCTGTTTCTCACTTAATTGCTCAAACAAGTACCTATCTAAAATTTTTTCTTCTCTTCCTACAGAGATTCCAAGAAGGAGATGACAGAAGGAGATCATTCCACAGTGATGGAGTTTATTCTTGTTGGGATACCAGAGAAATCACAACTCAAGATTCCTCTCTTCCTCTTCTTTCAAGCAATATACATGTTCACTCTGGTGGGGAACCTGAGCATGATCACCTTGAGTGGGCTCAGTTCTCACCTGCACATCCCCATGTACTATCTTGTCAGCAGTCTGTCCTTCAGTGACCTCTGCCATTCCACTGTCATTACCCCCAAGATGCTGGTGAACTTTGTGATGGAGAAGAATGTCATCTTCTACTCCAAGTATGTGACTCAACTATACTTCTTCCTTGTTCTTGGTATCTCAGAGTGTCACATGCTGGCTGCCATGGCTTATGACAGCTATGTCACTATCTGTAAGCCCTTACTTTACAATGTTACCATGTCTTCTCGAGTCTGTTGCTGGATGGTAGCTGGGGTGTACAGCATGGGTTTAGTTGGTGCCGCAACTCACACACTGTGCATGCTGAGGGTGCTTTTCTGCAAGGCAAATGTCATAAACCATTTCTTCTGTGACCTTTACCCACTACTGGAGCTCTCCTGTTCCAGTACTTTTATCAATGAGGTAGTGGTTCTGAGCTTCAGTGCACTTAATATTCTTCTTCCAACTCTGAGTATATTTGCATCCTATATCTTCATCATAGGCAGCATCCTCCACATTCGCTCCACTACCGGAAGGTCCAAAGCCTTCAGCACTTGCAGCTCCCACATCTTGGCTGTTTCTGTCTTCTTTGGCTCTCTAGTATTCATGCACCTGCAGCCCTCATCAGTCAGCTCCATGGACCAAAGGAAAGTGTCCTCTTTGTTTTACACTATTATTGTCCCGATGCTGAATCCCCTCATCTACAGTCTGAGGAATAAGGATGTGAATGTTGCCCTTAAGAAGTTCTTTGGAAAAAAGAAAGTTCTTATGAAGAAGTTTTTACTTCAGTAAAAATTTACAATTTTTTTGTCTTAGTAAGGAAACAGTCCAGTGACTGCATGGTATATCCACAGTTCATGAGATTACTTCTGGGATTTATTGAACAAAAAGTAGCAAGGTAGGTCTGAGTTGATGTATTCAAACCTACTGAAGACACCACCTCTCTGGATGGCCCAGAATCCATCTACTCAAAATCATTGTTATCACTCTATGCACTTTTGTAAATTCTTTAATTGCCTCTATATGATTGACTATGACTTATATGTATTAAACATAGCTCCTTTAATTCAATATTTATCTATCATAATTCAGGAAGTAAATGTTTGCTTATCATCAGATCTCTAAATTTTATCTCCCTAACCTTTAATTAAGTGAACTGATAAACACTTTTTGAAATTGTGATTTTCAAAATATATAATTTTTGCTTTTTGAAATATACAAAATATAATCCCTCATTCTGTGTAAAACTGTCTTAAATAATGTGATGAGAGATATAACAGCTTCTGTACACAAGGAGACACCTGTATATTGGAAAATATTGGAAATATGAAACCGATATAGTTTTTAGGTTGTTTTTGTGATACATCTATGCAACATTCCTTGCTGCACAGTTTTGGTATTACCCTTTCTGTTTACAGACAAATGTCTACTCATTTTCCTCCATTCCCAAAAAGACAGTTTTTTAAAAATTCCAACCATGGGGCTGGGGATTTAGCTCAGCGGCAAAAGCGCCTTCCTGGCAAGCACAAGGTCGTGAGTTCGGTTCCCGGTACCAGAGAAAAACCAAAAAAAAGAAAATTCCAACCAGCTTTATGGACTCTCAGATTGAAAACTGATGTTCTTTCACTATTGCATTCTTATGAGTTCTTCGTTCAAACAGAAAATTACATTTAACAAATTATGTCCTGACTAATGACAACACCTCTTCCGTACAAAGCTCTCTGTCTATTGTAGGAAGAAATATTTTCTTGAGGGGCTGAGATGGTGGTGGCCATCACAGCAGACTTCAGATAGAAGCAGTTTTTAGCTTCTGTATTAGTCTCTATTAGGTTTGTCAGTACACACACACACACACACACACACACACACACACACACACACACACCCCTTAAACCAGAAGATGACTTAAGAAGTAATATCTTAATTCTGCTCAGCTCATTCCTATAATATTGCCATCATTCTTGATGCTCCTTTATTCTGAAATGACTTTTGCCTCCATTCCATCTTTCTAAATTTTAAATAGATTTCAGTGACAAACAGAAATGTTCATTCTTCCACATTTATCCTCATTCTGGGTTCCTATAAGATACACCTCTGCTTCACTAAACATATTGGTATAATGACAGACATTGACTGCTTTTTACTTTTTTATTTTTCCTCTTGCTATAAATCACTTTAAACAATTCGTTTAGTGTATGTCTTAAAAACTTGCTCAATTTTTGAATATTTTAATGTACTGGCATGAAACTCACTGGAACTCTAACATCATCTGTCACATTCTTATAATCTGTATTCAAACAAGAATACTGAATCACTACACCAAACACTGGACAAGCAGTGAGAAAAAGGGGGAAAATCTAATTGTGAATTTTTTCTAGAGTTGGTACTGATGGGATAAGACTCTCCTTGGAGGCCATTATCATTGATCCTATTCATACCCTTATTGTCTTTACCCAGCATAGAAACTCTGCCTTTCACCCAACCTTTACAGCAAGCACTAGCTTCATCAGAGATCTGGATGAGTTAGATCTGGATTAGTGGTCTGTTATCTACTCACATCTGTATTTTCCTCTCTAGAAGAATAGAAAAAAAAAAATGTAACACTGAAATCTTGGAAGAAGGGGCTGGTGTTATAGGTCAGTGGCGCAAGCACCTGCCTGGCAAGTGTGAGGTCATGAGTTTGATTCCTAGTACCAAAAAAAAAAACAAAAAACAAAAAACAAAAAAAAAAAAAAACAGAATTTGAAATCTTGGAAGAAGGAGGGTTATGTCATGGAGTGTGTGTTTAAAATCTTTGAATCGACGATCTTAGGCTTTCCCCAGAGCTAATAGAAATGAATATGATTATTTTTCTGTCTCATCCTCTTTCTAAAGACCACACTTATAGTCACAGGCCCTCTTATTATCTCTGTGACACTTTAATATAAGATTATGTTAAAGATGACTTTACTTATTTTGACTCAGGCACTATGAGGGCTTTATTTAGTTAGTCTGAATATATTAACTTATGGTCAAGCTTCTCCAAACATACTTCTGTCAAGATTTAGTATATGCCAGGTACTATATCCCACACTTTACTGAGTTTACAATGTACTATGGAAGAAATTCTAGTAAATTGCTCATAATAATTACTACAAAATTAAATATGTGTCAGATGTGAACATAATGAACACATTTATAGGGAAATAGAATATAAAACAGTATTTTCTTTGAAAAAACAAGCAAATTATCAATTCTTTAGAAAACTAATCAATAGAAATAAAGATAACACTCAATAAAATTAGAGGCAAAAGTAGGAATTAAAAATACAATTTAAATTTAAATATTCATCAGGGAATGTTTTGAATAGCCATATGCTAATAAAATGGAAAACCTAGAAAAAGTGGACACATAGGACATACTGAAATTAAACCAGGAATATATACAAAACTAAGTGAATAATTAATAAGCAGTTAGTTTGAAACAATAATAAGGGAGCTGGGGATTTAGCTCAGCGGCACAGCACCTGCCTGGCAAGTGCAAGGTTGAGAGTTCGATTCCTGACACCGGAAAAAAACCAAAACCAAAAAAAATAAAATTAAAAGAAACAATAATAAAAAGTTTTCAACAAAGCACAGCCTACAACTGAATATACCAGATTTTACAGGTGAATTAATAGCAATGCTCCTCAAAATACTGCAAAAAAGAGAAGTGGAAAGAACCCTCCCAAATCCATCCTATAAAGCCAGAATTACCATAATATTGAAATCTGATAAGAGAATGTACCTACACAAACACACAGATAAATGTGTATGTGCCTGCACAAACACACACACACACTAGAGATGCATAAAACTGCAACATAAATGCAAATATCATGCAAATACCATCACCAAATAAATGCAGAGCAAATTCAGCAACACAACGCAAAAATCATACCTAAGATCAAGTGGATTTCATGTCAGTGTTACAAGGACAGCTGAATGTACACAAATCAATAAATGTAATATAGCACATATATAAAATCAAGCATAAATACCATATGATCACCTGAATAGAAAAAAAGCTTCTGACAAATTTTAACATCTGTTATGCTGAATCCCTGAGTAATTTCGGTATGGAACGATTACACTGCATCAGAATAAAGACTATATATTACAAACCTGACTGGGGAAAAACGAAAAGCATTTCCTCTAAATTCAGAAACAAGACAAATGTGTCTACTCTTATCAGTCATGTTTAATATAATACTAGAAATTCTAATCAGAGTGATCAGGGAATAAAAAGAAACTGCACAAAAATATCAGTGGAGAAAGTCATATTATTCTGTTTGCAGATAACATGATTCTAGAACTAGCAAACTCACCAAGAGATATTTACTCCACTAAAAGATATTTACAACTGATAAAAAAATACAGTAAAGTAACAGGATATAAGAATAATTTTTTATATAGCAATAATGAGCTCACTGAAGAAGATACCAAGGAAGGAACTCTGTTGATTATAATTAAAAAATAAAATATCAAAGATTAAACTTAAATATAAATTAAATATTATATATTTATACTATATTATGTTATAATATGTAATTCAAAGTATATTATATATAACTACAATAAAAATTATAAATAGGCATTAAAGAAGGCACTAGAATGTGGAAATACCTCCCATTTGCATGGATTGGAAAAATTAAGATTGTTAAAATGGCCACACTATACAAAGCAATCTACAGATTCAATGCAAAAAGCATCAAAATACCAATGACATTTATTGCAACTATTGTCTCAAAAATACACACTTTATGAATATTGAGTAAAAATTTTGTGCATAAACAGTTTGATATGATGGTAATTTTTATGACATGCGTGTTTTTATTCTTCTTCAATATTTCTATTTTATTTCTAGTAAGAAATCAATCCTCTTTGTGCCTTAGTCTTTTTAGATACTGTTCTCAGGTCTTTGGTAGTAACTAAATGAGATTCATTTGAAATCTTAATGAATGTTCATTCTATTCAGTGCCCAAATTGAAATGTTCCAAGAAGTACAACTTTATGAGCATATCATATTAGTCTGAATATAATCAGAATTGATGAAAATACAAGCCTTTAAAATTTTAAAGATTTTGATTATTGTCCCTGATTTGGTATTTTTCCCATTTGAGAAATCACTTTAAGAATTCCCATAGTGCCTGTTTTAACATTTTTCTGAAATTTTGAATTTTTAAACTTCTGGGCATAAAACTCATTAGAGCTCTAACAATATTTCTCACAACTTCCCCTTAACTCTGAATCTAACAAGAACACTTAATCACACAAATGTGACAATATTAAACACTTGAGAAGCAGTGGGGAAAAGGGAAATTGTAACTGTTTCTTCTCCCCAGAGCTGATACTTGTGGGATAAGATTCTAGTGGGAGGTCATTATCATTGTTGGCTCCTAATCAGACTTTTGTACATGGTATACACAATTGTCATTTCAACCAGCCTTTGCAGAAGGCCAATAGCTTTGGGCTTTAGCTTCATCAGATGTTAGGACTCAAATGACTTCATCAAATGTTAATGATTCAAAACATACCTTGGGCTTATCAGAGGTTTATATTCTCAGAACCTCTCTTTTACTTTCTTCCTTTTAAGGGAGTAAAAAAGAAAAATACAGAACCCTGAACTCTCTGGGAAGCAGAAGGGGTATGTTTCTATCCCTATTCTTGCCTTTTTAATTTCTAGATTTTTTTGCCTGCAGTATCTTTCATGGTGTCAGTAGAGATGCAGATGACAATTGATCTGTCTTTACTGGTTCTCATTCTAAGAGCCAA